AAACTAGTACAGAGCAGTTGTCCGAATTGAAATTAATGCATTTTTAGCGTAGTTATGAGATTTTTCAAATTAGGGTTTTTCAAAAAATTGTCATATAAAAGTATAATTAAATATCGACTCAAAAAATGGTATTATATTTTTAGTAAAAAGCTTAAAACCAAGTGAAGGAGTCATTTCCGACTATAAATCATATATATTCTTGATCATCATCGACAGCCGAATCGATCTAGCTATGATTGGTAGAAATATAAAATTTTTCATTTTTTTCAACTTTTTTAAAGTGGTTTTATCGTTAAAATTGGCCAAAAAATTTGAACAAAAATTAAATTTTGTAAATATTGAAACTCAATACGCAGATTTGATAATCTCAAAAAAACTAGCACAGAACAGTTTTCCGAAATGAAATTTATGCATTTTTGGCTTAGTTATGATATTAGGAAAACATTGATTTTCCCAAAAAATTAGCATATAAAAATATTAATTTAATAACTTAGAATTTGGGTTTTCTTGTAGGTATGCAAAGATAAAAAAGCCAGCAATTGCCTAAAGTCATATATATTTATACTTGCAATCAAAATCTTTATCAATAAAGAATAAATTATTAGAAAAATAATTTCCACGAAATATTTAGTTGAATTTTTCAAAATTTTGTAGGTGTAAAGGTATCATTATTAAAATTATAGAAAATTCAAAAAGTAAATATTTAATAAATTCAATATTTTATAGATTTATATATATATTTTTTTTTGTCTTAAACTATAACACTAACTATATTTATGTATGTATATCTTTATATGACTTAACTTGACTTTATTTATTTCTGTGCATTCAACTTGAAGCAGCTGCGCTTCAACTTAAGTTTTAAAAGCAGCTGAGCCCCTTTTTTTGTCATGTGTTTATTTGTTTATTGCACAATTTGTCGCTCTTGATAAAAAAATACACAAATTTATATTGAAATAATATATATTTTAAGAATATAATTAGGAGATTAACAGTATATGTTTTATTATTACAAAAAATAAACATAGTTTTACCAAACTAAAAGCTCCGGGGAAATTCATAGCATCTACGATCTTCATTTATTTTTTCTAAAATTTCAAAGTGTACCTTAAAATATAATTAAAGTATAGACATATAATTTTTAAATAAATTAAGCTCCCATTAAACCTAATTATCTCCTTCCATATCTCAACTCTTTATGATATCTTTTTTAGTATCTCTTGAATATCTTTTGGAAATCTTCTTAAATGTATCTTCCCATCTCTCAACTTATCTTAATCTCTTTCTTTCGCGTTTCGCTATTTGCTCTACTGATTTATCGACAAATTTGAATGTTTATGTATCTTTTTCTTCTTTTTCTTCTATTTTTTGCTTTTTTTTTCCTATTTTTTTTTTTTTGCATTCTGGTAGCAAGTTGCTTGTGGCTGTTGCAGTTGCGGTTTTTGGTTGGGCGATTTTCGAGCGCAGCAACAGCAGCTGCAATAGAGTTGTGCGATTAGATATTACACAAAAAATCAATAGCTAAATTAAACTAGCTAAAGGTGGAATTAAAATTAATAATTAAAATATATATTAAAATATATATTATATAATATATAGTATACAAATTACTATGGTCTAAAAATTTCAACAAAAACTTTAGGACTTAGCTGAAGGGATAAATCTAGTTGTTTTAAAATATTTTTTCTAACTGAAATTAGGATTTTAAAATATTTCTACAGTCAGTAAAATCAAAAAAAAAGGAAAGTTCTAAATTTGTAATATATATTATAAGTATTCATTTTTATTTATTTGTAGGAAATCGAATTTAAAACATTAAAAGATTGAAAAGATTTAAAAGTTACCTATATTTATGTATATTGTGGTCTATGTTGGCATTTTCTTACTTTATTTTGGTCTCTCTTTACATTACTCATAATATTTGCAAGAATTTTATACATTTTCATATATTTTGATATTTTTCAATCAACTTTAATATATATCTGCCATTTTTTTTAAAAGATTTACTAGAAGAAATATATATTCTTAAAATTTTTTACATTTTCTTAGAGACTTCTTAAATTAAATTAAATTTTTACATCTATACAAATGCATTAATATAAAGTAAAGCAAAATAGCAATTCTTTTTTATTATTTATATTAAAAACAGAATTAAGAATATGCCTCATATGGTATTTTTCTATATATTAAATTTCTTATAATTTTCTAACCTCCTAAAATCATTTAAAATATATATTATATCATTTGAGAGTTTATTTAAAGAGTTTTCTGTATATAAATATTTTTATATTTATCTTTTTGTATAAAAATGGAATAATTTTTAATATATATTCAAATGTATACATATAATTTGACTATTTTCTAGCTATAGAGTCAGTTTTCCTCAGTATCGAGTGTGGGAATTGACTTGAAGTTGGGAGGTATTTTTTGGTACTTTGGATAAATAGGAATCGAAGGTATGTACTATGTACTATGTATGCTAATTGAAGAGCTGCGAGTTGTTCAGGTGTCTCTCTCTCTCAGAGTGTGTGTGTTTGGCCAATTACGCCTAATTGCTGTCAAGTCAACAGTGAAAATGAAATGGAAATGAAAAGTGCCACAAATGAGCAGCAGCCGGACTTGGGGGACAGTGGAAAGCTCTGTGTCTTTCCAAGATGAGGAGGGATGGCGAATGGAGGAGCGGGTTGGAGAAGCTGGAAGCGGGAACTGGCTGCAAGTGGCGAAATGTCAACAGCAAAGATCGAGAAATACCAAAGCTAAATACCAACTTTCCTGAGCTCTCCAAGAAGAGATCACTGACTTTAGCGCCAAGACGTTGCTTTTGTTTTTGGTTTTTGTTCATTTAGCCAAGGCGGAGATGGTGACCTAGTTTTGTTTAGAAAATTATTGGAAAATATATGAATATATTGGAAAATATTAATAGACATTTATGAGAGCTTGAAATATTATTGAAATATGAATATTATATATTATATATTAAATATGAGTAAAATATGAATATTTATGAGCTTAAAATATTATTAAAAATATTTAATGATACTTGAGAGAGTGAATTATAGTTGGGTTGAGAGAGATTATTTACAGATCTTTCTTTATATAATTAAACTTGTTTATTATTCCAATATTATTATATTATTACTTTTTCTTTATTACTTTATATTTTTTTATATAGGAGTTTGTATTTAGAATTTTAATAAATAATATTCAAAGCAGAAGAGACAGATATATTATTAAATAGTATTATTATTTACGAGCTTGGAATGTTATTAAAAATATTTAATGTTATTTAAAATAGTGAATTATAATTGGTTTCTGATTATTTACAGTACTTTCTTTATATAATTAAACTTGCTTATTATTCAAAAATGATTATTATTAATTCTTCTAGCTATTCTTTTTTATTTTATATTTTTTTATTTAGCAGTTTGTATAAACAATTTTTAATATTTAAAGCTGAAGTGGCAGATATATTATCAAATATTTAGATATACACATGCTTGAGTTTTTATTAATTGAATTGATATATATTAAAAAAAATGAATTTCAGAGTTTTCCTGATATATATTTCAGCTTAAATGTTAGATAAATATTAAATATGTTCTATAAAATATATTCTGTTAGTTGTTCTTTATTACTTTATATATTTTTACAAAGGAATTTGTCAAAAAAAGTTGTTATAAATATTAATAATAGAAGAGCAGATGGTATATAATTTAATATTAAAAAATTATAAAATATTATTATATATGTTTTAGAGATTAAATTGAATTGATTGGAGGCTTTTTTAGGTCTTTTTCTTATATATTTCACCTTGAATTTTATTTATTTTATACGTATAATCTATAGAAAATTTTATTTTAATTTTTTCTCATCATTTAAAGTTGTTTTATTTACTTGACAACTCTTTCCTAACACTACAAGTCTAAAACTTTCAATTTAGATTTTAAAAAAGCCTAAACTCTAACCAAAAATATGAAAATATTTAGTAATTGTTCTGGTAATTATACACTTGGCTAGAACCAGTTTTTTAGGTTTCTAGTCCTTTTTTTGTACTTTGTTGCTCCACTCCCCTAGATAAAAGCCAATTTGCAGCACTTGCACTTGGTAACAATTTGTGGCCATATCAGATGCCATTTCAAGTGGTTTACCTCTAAGCGATATCGCGTATACGCCGCATGGTGCCGCCAACTTAGAAACAATGCCAGCACACACCCAGTTTTCAAGCAATATATATAGTATAATATATAAAACTATACACAAAATACATAAAAGAAAGTTGTCTAAATAAAAATATTTCAAAAACCCACCTTCTATAAGGTTTTACCTTGCCTTTAAGCCTTTTTTTCATTTGATTTTTGGCTTTAGTTTCGGTTTCGGTTTCGCTTTTTGTTTAATTTCCAAACAAAACTATAAAAATAAGAAACAACAAAAATAAAACCGGCCCCGCGTGAGGCAAATGTCAAGGTGTTCAATGAAAAGAACACTCGACAATGCCAGCTGGTTGACAAATGTTGATTGGTTTCAATTCTGGTTTAATTTTGTATTTTTTGCATTAAAGAACTACTTGAATATCGCATTTGTACATATTCTTTGGCATATTTGGCAGGCAGCGATAATGCGACAAAATTGCGGCTTAAAAGATCAATCAAGTGATCAATGAAAATCGAACGATTTGATCGATTCAAAACGCCTTTCGAAAGTGTGTGAGAGCCACAACAAAAGACTTTGGCAACGAACCTGTCGTTTTTTCTACGTTTCTTTTATTTTTTGCTAATCCACTTTTCATGCGGAAATGTGATACACTCAGAAAAATATGTATATCAAACAGGAAGTCAAGAAAATAAGTAGTATTACTGATAAATTCAGGGAAAAGAGAAGCTTTTAGCAAGAAAGTAGTAAAGAAAACAAGTTTGTGCTGCTACAAAAATCTTAAAAAATTGTTTACAATTAATAATAATATTAATAAATTAATAAAATACCTTATTTTGTTAATTTTGCAGCTTGTCAATGAGCCAGTGAGCCATCAGCAATGACAGAGACCAGCAGCAATCATCAACAGCAAACCGGTGGCCGGCATTCGGCTTCACCGGCTCGCACCATTGATTCGCATGATTCCACCACGGGCAGCCTGGACACCATTGTGGATCGCAGTTTGAATCGCGAGGAGCTGCTCCAGGTGGTCACCACCATTGAGCAGAGCACAAATACAAATACGAGTGGCGGCAGTTTGACCAACTCGCAGATTGGTATGCTAGAGAAGCAGCGGGAGGAGCACGATCAGGATCAGGATCAGGATCAGGATCAGCAGTCGCGTCAAGATGCCCAGAGTCACATATATTCGAGTCCCGTTTATGATGAGAAGCCGCCGGCATTGAAACTCCTCTCTGCCGCCTTGGATTTGGATACGGAAAAGAGCAAGGCAGCCGCTGCAGCGGCAGCGGAACAGCCCAAATTGATATCCCATCAGGAGTTCAAGCAGCAGCTGGAGGAGGCAATGGCCACGAGACAACAGCAGCAGCAGCCTGGTAGCCAGGCGGCGACATTGAAGAGTGCCGCCAATACGTTGGATTCACGTATAAGCCGGAAGCAGCGTTGTCCCCCGGAATTCATCAAATACAAGGGTGGAGCTGGTAGTGAGGGTGGAGGCAGTGCATCCACAACCTCGCTCTCCTCCAAGGATCGCCGGCGCCGCAAGGCTAGCAATGAATGCTGCTCGGCCTTCCCGCTGCAGATTGTCCTCGGAACACTGCAACTTCTGCTGGCCATCACCCTGGTGGCACTCGGTTCGCTGCTGATTGTTCGTGAGGCGGCACTCTCGATGGCCGGCTGTGGCATCTGGACAGGACTGACGGCCGCCGTGACGGGTTCTCTGGGTGTGGTGAGCATGCGGAAGACGCAAACGGCCTTCCTAGCATTGAGTTTGGTTTGCATTGCCACCAGTACCCTGGCGTTGGCCATTTCCGGTGTGGGTTTATCGCGAGATCTCAACCGGATGGCAGAGCAGAAAGGCAAGGATGAGCAGGTGAGGTTTCCAGGCTATTGTCCACAAAAGAATCTCTTTAATATGTCTCTTTTAAACCCCCAGTTCGATTTGATAACCACAAACAGTGAGGTATCCGCCGCCTGTGGACTGATATTTGCCCTTTTCCTGCACTTTGTTGTTAGCATTGTGTCCGTTTATAGATGCGCCCTGCAAATCTGCACCAAGTGAGTAGTTTTTTCACCTATTTTATTATACAAAATCTATACAAATAAGTCAAATCTCTCGGAATTACTTGAATTTCAAGTTGCGCGCTCTGAAAAATTAATCAAATAATCGATAAGTGTTAGTATCCGTTTCGTATCAATATCGGTATATTTCGTTGGTATTTTTTGAATGTGTTTGGTATATTATGCTTTGGCCTTGCCTTGTCTCGGTATATTTGCACACTGGCGCCGCGGTCACACCCGATGGGAAAAATATTCCAAAAAAAAAAAACAACAAAAAAACAATTGTTTAATGTTTTTAAGTTGTGTAAATAATAGTGATAAGGAGACAGCTGTCTGTGGTAGTAAACCAAGAGCAGCAGCCGCGTGTGTGTGTGAAAGCGAGGCAGAGCAACTATAAAAGCTTGGAGGACGTGGGCAAAGCGGAACAGAAGGAGGAAATCCGCCAGCGAAGAAGCAACAGCAGAGCAATCGAGCAAGCGAGCGAGCGAGAGAGAGCGAGTGGGAGTATAGCGGAAGTGATAAAGCAAAGAGAAGAGCTGCGTGAGCGAGTGGGAGAGGAAGAGAGAGAGCAAAAGGAAAGTGGGCGAGAGCAAAGAGAAAGCAAAGAGGAGCAGAGGAAAAAGGGCAACAGCGGCGGCGGCGGCGGCGGCGGCAAAGTGGAGGCGTCGCTGGAGGCGGAGCAGCCAAAAGACGCCAGCAGCGTTTGGAGTCATGCCGCTGGCCGATTCCCAAAAGGATCTCCGCCAGCAGCAGCAGCAGCAGCAGCAGGAGACATCCCAGCAAACTGGCAACCATGAGAACCACGAGATGCTCCAACAGCAGCAACAGCAGCGCAATGCAATGGGCCTGCAGCTGCGCCAGCGCCTTCAGATCACCTCATCCGGCTGCAGCAGCCTGGCGGTCACGCCCATGGAGCACACACCCACCGAGGACGATGAGAGCGGTGCCGGCAGCAGTGGCAATAATAATGGTAATGGCAATGGCAATGGTGCTGTGCTGACCACGGTGACATCATCGCAGCGCCGGCAACAACAGGTGCAGCAATCCGCCTTACAGGCAGCGCTAGAACAGCATCACATCTCGCCCAAGCAGGGACAACAGCGGAGCAGTAGTCACGCCCAAAATCGTAACCTTTGCTGTCCACCGCCCGAGCTGATGGAGCTTAGCGATTCGGAGTCACAGCAGGGAGCTGGCGGCGGCGGCGGCGGCGGCGGCGGCGGCGGAGGAGGAGCAGGAGGAGCTGAAGGCACTGCCCTAGCCCTCGACGAGAACGAGTTCGAGCTGAAGGAGGTTATCAAAGAGGGTCACGACAAGGCCGATCCCTCCCAGTTCGAACTGTTGCGCGTTTTGGGCGAGGGCAGCTTTGGCAAAGTGTTCCTTGTCCGCAAAATAATTGGCAAAGATGCGGGTACGCTGTATGCCATGAAGGTGCTTAAGAAGGCCACCTTGAAGGTCAAGGATCGTGTTCGGAGCACCAATGAGCGCAAGATCCTGGCCGATGTCGGTCACGCCTTCATTGTTCGCCTGCATTATGCGTTCCAAACGCCGGGGAAGCTCTATTTGATTCTGGATTTCCTGCGCGGCGGTGATCTCTTCACGCGCTTGTCCAAGGAGGTCATGTTCACCGAGGAGGATGTCAAATTCTATTTGGCTGAACTGGCGCTGGCCATGAATCATCTGCACACGCTGGGCATTATTTACAGGGATTTGAAGCCGGAGAATATACTATTGGATGAGCATGGTCATATAGCTCTCACGGATTTCGGCCTCTCGAAGCAACCTCTGGATGGATCCAAGACATATAGCTTCTGTGGAACGGTGGAGTACATGGCTCCAGAGATTGTGAATCGAAAGGGACACGATTTTGCCGCCGATTGGTGGTCATTTGGTGTCCTCATGTACGAGATGCTAACGGGGAATCTACCCTTTCATGGCCAGACGCGACAGGAGACCATGAATCAGATACTGAGAAGTAAACTGGGCATGCCCGAGAATCTCTCACCGGAGGCACAATCTCTACTGCGAGCTCTGTTCAAAAGGAACCCTTTAAATCGTTTGGGAGCCGGTGCCCAGGGTATATTGGACATTAAGGCGCACTGTTTCTTTGCCACCATCGATTGGGTGAGGCTGGAGCGAAAGCAAGTGCGTCCACCCTTTATACCCGCTGTAAGCCGTGACGATGCCTTCTACTTTGATGTGGAGTACACATCGAAATCGCCGCGAGACTCACCCGGCGGACCCATATCCGCCTCTGCGCATGAAATCTTTCGAGGCTTTAGCTTTGTGGCACCTGTGCTGCTAGAGGGTCAGTGCATCACATCGTCAAATAGCTGCTCCACCAGTGCCAGTCCTCTGCATCATAATATTGCCGTGGCTGCCGCCTCTGCTGGTGCCACTGCTCCTCCTCCTCCTGCTGCTACTGCTGCTGCTGCAAGTGCTCCTCGCAGCCTACCGGGCGTTCTGCCCGGTAACTTCCATGCCGAATACAATCTGCTACAGGAACTGGGACGCGGCACCTTCTCCGTGTGCCGTCTGTGCGAACATCGAGCCTCCAAGAAGCATTATGCCGTCAAGGTGATTGAAAAGGCAGCGGTGGCTGCTGCATCTGCTGCCTCCACATCCGCCGATTGCTGGGAGGAAGTGGAAATAATGCTGCGGTATGGCAATCATCCAAATATTGTTACCCTATACTCGGTTTACGAGGATGCAGGCTCTGCGTATCTGGTGATGGAGCTACTAAAAGGTGGCGAACTCCTAGATCGCATCCTGGCCGTGGGTCAAATGTGTGAAAGCGAAGCGAGCGCTGTGCTACGAACCATAGCATCCGCGGTGGCCTATCTCCATGAGCATGGTGTAGTGCATCGGGATCTAAAACCTTCGAATATGATTTATGCGAGCATGCGTCAGACACCGGAGACCCTGAAGCTATGCGATTTGGGTGAGTAAATGCGATAAAAACTTCTCCTTTTTGGAACACACATTAAGATCTTTTCGATAGGCTTCGCCAAGCAGCTGCGAGCTGACAATGGACTCCTGATGACGCCCTGCTACACGGCTAATTTTGTGGCTCCGGAGGTGCTAAAACGTCAGGGTTATGACCTGGCCTGCGACATTTGGTCACTGGGTGTCCTGCTTTACATCATGCTCTCGGGTCGAACGCCCTTTGCCAGCACTCCCAATGATTCACCCGATGTGATATTGAAACGGATTGGCTCCGGGCACATAGATTTTGCCAGCAGCCGTTGGGCTTTGATCAGTGCACCCGCAAAGGAGTTACTTCGTCAGATGTTGCACATTGTACCCGAGAATCGACCAACGGCAGCGCAGATACTAGAACATTCATGGTTGCGAGAACAGTTTGCCAGTGGTGTCCAGTTGACGGAGTACGCTGTGGCACCCGGTTCACAGTCACAACTCTCGCTGGGCGCTCAGCAGCAGCAACAGAATCACATTTCGATGGCATTAAGGGGTGCAGTGGATGCCACATTTCGGGCTATTGCCATACCCCAGGCGGCGAATGTGGGACCCGTGGAGCTATCCATGCTGGCCAAGCGACGGGCCAAGGATCGTGCCAATCTGCATTCGTAATCGTGGGCAAGCGTGGCAACCGGGTGCATGCGGCGCCTGGCCAAGAGGCAGCTAATCCAATTACTTTTCCGGCTCTACAGTATTCTGATCCATTGCTGGGCTACAAAACCCTGCCGTCGCAGGATGGTTAATGCAGGAGGAGGAGGTCACAATCCTCGCCAGCGTTGTCGCAGGCACAAGCTGCGAGTGGTTTAAAAGTATTTTTTTTTTTCTGGACAACCAACAAGTGTTAATTATTTATTTTATATACGAAAAGCATACCGAGGATGCCAAGGCCAAAGCAATGTGCGGTGGGCATCTATATATACAATATAAAACTATAACTTTAAAGATACAGATACCGATATATATAGCTATTTATATATATATATATATAACAAATCCTTGGAGCCGAGCGTGTGTGCATCTCAGATGTAACTCTCCCAGTATTTTTTTCCCCGAGCTCGAAGTTAATACCCTCGCACCAAAGACCTTATAATAATAAGATGCATAAACCCCATATATTATAAGGTCTTTGCTTCGCACACTCAAAACAACAAAAAATCTATATATATACATATAAAAAAAATCCAAGGCATACATATTTTTAATTAAATTAATCGTAGCTAAAATTTTCCAACATCACAGTGTTATTGTTGTTTAACTAATTACAAATTAAAAACATAAAAAGAAATTAACAAAAGATAAAAATATTGAAAAAGGCAAAACCACAAAACCTTTTCCTTTATTACTATTATTATTAACATAAAACAAATTTGTCGCCAAAACTCTAGCAAAAAACTGTAAAGAGTTAATAACAACTAAAAACAAAAAAGAGAGTTTCCCACAAATTCTACTTGGAATGTCAATTTTGCACAAAAGAAACAAAGAACTAAGTAACTAAAATATATATATGATATGGTTACGATAACATATAATGCATATGTATATAGAAAAGCTTAAATTTGGCAGACAGTGCGTTACGGAATATTAAAGGTAGCTAAAAAGGGTTAATCTTTCCATATCTAACTAGTATATAGTTTTTTAAAATTATATAAATTGCATTTATTTATTTTTTAAACCATCTAAAAATGTTTTAATAAGTTTCAACATGTTCAAACTCACTTAATCCAGCTTTAGTTTTGTTTTTCTTTATTTTTGTACCAATTTAACAAGTCTATATATGATTTTCTTTTAATATACAACCTTTTTAAGTTGTTTTATATATCTGAAACGCACTGTACTGTAAGCATTAAGCAGTTGTGACAATTGGTTTCGCATTTCGTTCATCGCTGTCCGATGTCTTCCAACCGAAGTTGTATCGTGTTTCGGATCGCACTGTAAAAATTAATGTGACTCAGTGAAATCGATTGGAGAACCATTCCCCCATATACTATATATATATATATATATATAGATATATATATATACTCACTTCCGACTCCGCATAAGGTTGGCTATGTGCTTTTACAAACATATATAAATATATATATATATTTTACCTAAATGTCAGCGTAACCATTTAAATAATTATGCGAATCCGGCAATGGGAGTGCAATTAAAAAAGCGAATTTTGAATTCCATTCGAATATGTGCGCTAGCTTATAAATGTTTACAGATATATCTACATATATATATGATTGTATGGGAAAAATCTGAGGACAAGAAGAACTTGTTTTCCACTAACTAACTAACTTAAAAGAATGTGATTTTATAAGCAAAAAAAATTCTTTACTACTTCGTTTGCAATTCAATTTCAATTTCAAGTAAAAAAAAACTTGTTAAAAATTATACAAGAAAATTACAACAAAAAAAGACGAGAAAATTGAATAAAAATGATGCTAATGATAAAGAATATGAGAATTATGATGTATGTATGCCAGACAGTGCGTTTCGTTACTGTAAATTCCAATCGTTTATTGATTCAAGCTATAAATGTACGACAATTGAAGGGAAATTTCTCTCTGTGTGTGCATGTGTGTGTGTGTGTGTAAGTGTGTGTTTGTAAATGCAAAATTAAGATTTATGCGCTGTGCCACTACTGAACTTACTGCTAACAAGAAAAACAATAATAATTGCATAATATATAAAAAAAATATATATATATTATTATTATATACACATCTAGAAAATGTTAGTTAAACTTGCAAAATTTTTAAACAAATAATGATGGAGTGGAAGATATTATAAGCATGATTGATCATCCAACATCCAGACATTAGCTAGCTGAACGAGTAGAGAAAAGTTTTGAAATAGGAATAAGAAGGAAATCGGATTCATTTGCTGAAATTTGGTTTGGGAATTAAGGGATTTTTCATATTTTATAAATATATATTATTATATAAATTTTCAAGATTTCAAATCGTTTGATTAAATAAATCCCAAAGATTTACTATATATTCTAATTTTTCAATAAAATAAATTTTTCATACCTACTTTAAAGAGATTTTGAAGCATACATTTTGATTTTGGCAAAATGTTTGCTCTAAAAATTACAGAAAAATGTTTAAAAAAAATGCTGAAACATAAAAATCTATTTTAAATTTTTCTAAAGTTTCAAATGCTTTTCAGAAATCAAATTAAGTAAATTTATAATCAAATATAATTTTGTTTTGAGAATTTTCAAAAGTTTTTGAAGAGTTCAAAGTTCTTTTTTTCTTTCTTGGAGAATTTATAACTTTAAAAAATGAAAAAAATTGTTTACAAAGTTTAGAAATTTAAGTAAAACATAAATTTATTTTTGCCAGATTTCGAATCTTTTAAAAGTATATAAAATTCTCAAATTTTTGCCTACTATTGATCAAATAACATATTCTTTTTGCAAAATTTTCATTTCAAAAATTATAGAAAAATATTTTTAAAAATTAAGAGAACATTTTAAAATTCAAGAAATATTTCCCACTACCTAATTCACATGTTTCCAAGCCTCAGACCATATTTTAGCAAGTGAGAGATTCTGATAGATATAAAAAAAAATACATTGATTAATCACTACGATGATAATGAAAACGTACTAATGGTTTGTTAAAAAAATGCTGTGCACACACAAATCCGACAGAGACAGACGACAGGAAAGAAACTAACCAATATATTTGGAAAACTGATACGATTTCCCATCCCAAAACCAGGCCCACATCTCACCCATGACTACTCTCCAAACATACATTGTATATATGGGATGAAGCTACATACAAATATTTTCTTAGTAGATTTTTACAGCTTCCAGAACTATATATACACATATATATATATATTGAAGATGAAATCCGATGAAATTAAAAAACTAACAAAATATACATACATATAAAACAAATTGAAATTGAAATTGAAACTAAATAAACCTAAACACGAACAACACACACTTTTATTGTAATCGAAATCGATTCGAAATTATTGTAAAGTTGAATCATAAAAAAAAATCACAAGCTGGAAAACAAATCCAAGACAAAAAAACACACAAAAAGCAAACAAAAAAATAAATAAAAATATAAATTCAAAGTTTAAAATTCTAAATTTTTTGATTCCCAGGGATTTTTTTTAAATATAATATTATTATATTATATAGAGCAGTAATTTAATTGCGTTTCATGTGTTTATATCTATGTATATATGATTTGATAGGCACTAAAAAGCAAATGAATCATTTGTGGGGCGCCTCTTATCGCTGGGCTTAGGTTCATTTTAGATAAGATCGCAATTCTTATCGGAAATGCGATAAGAGAATGGGTTATCAGGGGAGGGCTTTCTTTATGGGGAGAATGGCGAAATCTTTGGGATTAAGAAGCTCAAGTTTAATTTTTAATTCGATAAAGGGGAAACTTTACTTTTTATATTAATTTTTATACTCTTTCAGGGTATTATAATTCTAGTTAAAAGCTTGTAACTTGCGAAGGAGTGATTTCCGACCATATAAATCATATATATTATATATATATATATATTATATATATATATATATGATTTATATATGATTTTTCTAATTTAAAGAAATTAAATTTTTTGCCAAATTTTTTTTTTTCTTTTAACGATATATTTTTAAAAGGGAGGGGTTATATCGTTAAAATAAAAAAAATTTAATTTCTTTAAATTAGAAAAATAATTTAGAAATAATTTTAGAAAAATATTTATGGCTATAAGTTATTTCAAGTTTCTTGGAAATGTCAATTCACTATTGGAAAGTGAATTTGCTGTTGGAATATTCATTTACCTTGGAAATGTTTAATTCCCATCCTTTAGGCTGTTTTTTTGTTATTGGAATATTTATTTACTTTAAGCAATGCTCATTTTTTAGTGAAATGTTATTTTGCTTCTGAAATACTTATTTCCATCGTCCTACTTCTGCTTCCAATTGGAATATTGGAATATTCCCTTGCTCTAAGGATGTTTATTTGCTATTAGAAAAATATTGGACTATTAATTTTCCATAGCTACCACTTTCCCAAGAAGTAAATTTCCTCCTTCTGCTTGACTTTTTCTAGTTAACAATAATTGTTGTTTTTATTTAACGTTTATCGTTTCATCGTTTTGTTATTTTGCAGCTTAAAATTAATTATTAATTTCAGTTTTTTTTTTTGTTTTTGTGGTTTCATTAATTGGAATCATAAGGTTTCTTTTGATTTGTTTTAATTGAAAATGTTTGCCTCGCTACACCGAAGCTTTGTTCATTCCTTCTTATCATTTCATTTCGTGATTTAATTTGAATTAAAAAGAAAACAAAAATATATTATAGAAATAAATACACTTACGTTATAGCAAACTATTGTACAATGTTTCCGGTGTTTCTCTTTTGTTTTCGTTTTGTACGCAAGCGAAAAAATTGAATGTTTTGAATTGGTATTTTCTTGAGTTTCTTGTGGTTTAAAAAAATATAGATGTATGCGCCGGGAACCGGGATCTATAATTTGCAACTGTAGTAACTGCCTCGGCGAATGCCTCAAATTAATTTGGTTTTCAATTAGAGCTGTGTCTCTGCTTCTCTACATAAATGTATATTGTTTAAGGTATATAAATGGAGAAGGAGAGATACAGCTCTACTTAAAATACTCAATATATATATATATATATATATATATATATATATATATATATCTCTAAATATGTCTATATGCGAAAGGACATTGAGTCCTAGTGCTTGCCCTTGCCCTTGCGACCCTTTTGCTGTTGCCTTGTCGTCGTCGTCGTCGTTGCGGCCTCCTTGTCCTTATCCTCCTCGCTTTCTTTGCCTAGAAATATAAAAAAGTAGTTAAAAAACAAGGGATTTTGCTGGTTACAGATTTTTAAATACCTGCTGCAGCTTCTGTGTCCTCCAACGACACCTTTTCCAAGGCAGGCGTTAGCTCTACAACCAGCTTTTCATCCTCTACTTTCTCATCTGGCTTTTGCGAGCTTCTCGCCTCGTGGACAACCACCTCGCCTTCTTCTTCCTCCTCTACATCTACCTCCTCCTCGACGACATGCGCCTCCTCGGCTATGACGCCATTCAGCACATTGACCGCCTCTTGGGCCATATTGGCCTGCGCCTGTCTACGTCTATGCTCAAGATCTCGCTTATAGTTTTGCGTCCATTCCACATGCTCCTTGTAATACTGGCCAACTGGTATGACAATCACCGAGATATCATCGACAGTGGCTGCCGCTTTGCTATCCGCCAGACGCCAGTGTCCCGAATCATTGATTTTACCTCGCGCTCGAGCCACCAGCTCTTGGGCAACCATCGTATAGCGATGCTTCTCCGTGGGGTATTTGGAGAGCGTCTGGAAGACGGTGCGTGCAACGGACTCGTTCTCAGACACATCCCACAGGCCATCGGTGGCCATCACTAGGACACCGTAGTCACCGTCACGATTATCCTCATCGGGAATGCTTACCACCTGGGTGAGATCACGTTGTCGGACATCGGGATGGGGCGTTAGGAAGGGTTTGATCTGAATGCCAGTATTAATGGCCAGCAGTTCATGATCACCAAAGCCTCGCGTCACACCGAGTGTGCCGAGTAAGCGACTTCGCTTTCCCTCGCCATTCACCACCGGCATACAGAGATCATCCCTGGTGAGGGTCTTGTACGTCCAGCCACGCATAGTTCCCTGCCGGCAGAGTATCCGTTGACCCATATCCTTAATGTGCGGCCTCTTGGCATACTCCATGGCCACATAATAGTTGCCCATTAAATGTGGCTTCAGCCTGGCCACATTTAGCAGCCTTTCTCGCTCCGTTTCGGGTGTATGATCCGCTGAGAATGGTACTGGATAGCAGCTAGACTCCAGGGGATCCGGTTCGATGCCAGAATCTGATGTAGCTGCTTTGGGTGATTCCTTTTGGTGCCTTCGCTGACAGAGGACAGCACGAGAATCACCGGCATTAGCCACATACATTTTGCCATCAATGAAAAGGGATACACAGGCGGTGCAACCGCCGGCATCCCTATATCGATCACTATCCTGCGCTATCAGCGAATCCATGTTGAAAAAGGCGCTCTCCAGTGCACCAATGATTAGCTCATCCTTGGACACCCGTCGCTGGAAGTAGATGGGGTGCGGGAATGTGGGATTCAGCTTAGTGCCATCGCCACCAGAGCCATTCCCCTCCGTTGAGGAGTCACGCGGCAGTAGGAGCTCCAGGCAATCGACCAGCTTCTCATGCAGAATGTGATGGAATTGATGCGAGGCGGCCAGCGCGGCACCATAGCCAGCATGACCATCGAAGATGCCAAAGTATGTGTACGGTAGATCCGGATGCTTGTGCTCCGGATCGGAGAGGACTTGTCTGTGGAGGAAGAGAAGAGATTAGGTATCATTAGGAACGCTAATAAAATCATTTTCAAGTTCAAACTTTAACATTTTTCTTGATTTTCCTAAGATTATATTTATAAAAGCTAATCATAACAATCATAAAAGCTCTAGAAACAGAATGAATCACATTATTTCCCTTGAAATAAATACACTTCCTGATTCTATTGTTCATTTCTAATAGAAATGTCACTTGAAAACCTATAAAAAGCACCCATTAATTATTTTTTATGGCCTCTATACAATTATAAATATTTTTCCTAACTATTGATTTTTAAATACTACCGTCTATGCTTGCTTTTGTTCTTGGTAACCCAAAGTAAAGTCTAGTAAATCAAATTCCTATCTGCGACAAGTGCAAACAATCATCATGCCAGCTTCCCTGAGATGTTTTCAAGTTCCAAGAAGAACAAAAAATAATGAGCAAATAGCAAAACTCGCGAGGTTTTCGTGACGCAATCTTTAAATACCAAAAAGAGTGCGAGAACAAATCTATATATTCATTTTTAAAGTTTAGAGAGGATATGCATCATCTTCAACGAATTAATTGGATTAATGTAAACAATCTTGAATTGTAAGAATATGTATAAACAAGCTAAACAGAGAGTAATCATAACAATTAAATTTATTTATTTATAGCGAAAAGCTAAATTCAAAGAATATAAAATAGTCATATTTAGGTTTTATGACCGCCATAAGCTAATAAATGATATTTCTGGTATTATGAGGAAACGGTTACAAAGCGATAAGCAATATTTTTTTATCATTATATAGGGTAGTGTGCGTATAAAAAGAATATTAACAGAACTAGGTTAGTGACTTCTATTAAATAGAGCAATTTATAGTGGTTTCTTTAAAATTTTAAAGAAAAGTATTAATGATTTTATGATTTTCATAAAAAAATATGATATTTTGTCTCTTAAAACTCTTGAAAAAGTTAGATTTAACAAATGAAAAAGAAAATAAACCCTAAAATAAACATGACTTAAGTGAATAACTGAATTAATCACAAATAAAGAAACAATGAACTACAAAATGAACTAGAGAACAAATAAGAGAATGAACAGAGTGAACTAAGGAATGAACAATGGAAATAACAAGACGTTAAGCAAGCACAATGAACAACTAAACAGAATGCAAATGAATTTACAGGGAAAACCGAGTTAACAACAGAAAAAATGCAATCAATTAATAAGAATGACTCACAAAATAACCAAGAAAGTTTAACAACTAAACACAATGCAATAGAATTTGTTCCCTAAAACAAAATACAAGCAACTCGAACCCCTTAAGAGGAGTATAAACAACTCCTTCCCTTTAATGCTTACCGGCAGAAGGCTCCCTGATCCTCGTTCCACTCCGATTTCCCCGAATTGACGCACTCGGCGTAGCCAGTGCCCCACGGCAGCAGGTTAATGTCGCGCGGCACTATAATCGGTCGAACATTGTGATCGGCGGAGGCGCGCAGCTCATCGGGTGTGAGAAGTTGCAGGAATGGAGGTCGAGCGTAGGGAAATTTGTCCGGCATTGGGCCACCGCCTCCGCTACCGCTTCCTCCTCCTCCGCCACCGCCACCACCACCAAATCGCAGCCTCTGGTGGCCGCTGTGATGGTGATGATGATGACCACGCTCCCGTTCGCCACTGCTGATGCCCGGAAGCGGTGGCAAGTCCGGTGCAATGGCCGAAATAAAACGTTCCTTAAAGTTACTAAACATTTTCCTTCCTCCTTTTGATCCTTTTGGGGGGGGGTCCTTGGACTTCGCTGCTGCTTCTGGTGTACTCTTTCCTTCTCGCTCACTCCCACTGACGTGGCGAGCTTGCGTCTATGTTGTTGTTTGCCTCCTTTATCCGCTCTGCCGTTGTCGCTGTCCGCTGCACTTTCCAGTCGCTGTCGGGGGGGAAAGGAAAGGGTTGAGCTACGTGGTAATTATCGATCTGCCGATCTGCTGCGCTTAGCTACAGGGCGGCCGAGTTGCTGGCTGATCGGCGTCAACTTTGCGGATATAGTTTTTTTTTTTTTTTGCGTGTTTTTGCCGTTGTTAAAAATAAATCGATTAGCACCATCAGTGTGGCCGTGCGCACAGCGCTTGAAAATACCAGGCCTCTGAAGCGTGGCAGCTAGCGATAAAATACTAGTTTAATTAATAGAGCAAACTGTGAAATTGAAAGAATTATAGGATTAATGAACTCTAAAGAAATAATAAAAAAATATATTTAATTAAGATCGAACTTGTTAAGTAAAATTGGCTTGTTAATTTAAATTAGCTGTGCATTTAAAAATCAGCGCTTAGGTTTTGCAACACTAACAAATACCAAGTAAAAATACCAAACTGTGGCAGCTAATCGGCTTATCGATTGTGCGGTAAAATACCAAATAAGTGTTCGTAAATATTATTTTTGAAACCAAGTTTGAATTTTAAATTTGAAACCGTTATTTTTAAATTATTTTGTTATTTTTTATTGCAGATCCCAACATAGTGAGCTGCGTGATGTCATCATCAAATCAAACGCCTCGGGCATTGCCTTGGATCAGCAAAAGGTTGATCAGTACATCAAGGCCATGTCTTTGAATGGCAACGAGAAGGTTTGTTTTTGCTATTTCTATGAGTTTTCTAAGGTTTTTCAATAGTTTTTACTTTTTATTTACTTTGTAAATAGGTTAATACTGAAAAGATGGCAGCCATGTGGATGTATGCCACTCAAATGGGCACTCTGCCGCCGCCAACAATCCGTAAATTAACCCCGCCATCCCGGCAAATAATGCTCATTCCCTCCACGGCTGGAAGTGGGGTAAGTTTAAGCCTTGATTTTAATGATTTCTTGGTTCTTTAATGATCTGTGTATTGCCTTTCCAGCTAGCCCCACCACCACCCACACGTATGCCACCACAGCCACCGCCACCTGGCGCTGGAGCTGGTCTATTGCTACCCGTGCCGCCGCCACTGATGCCGGCTCAGTACCGGGGAATGACACTGCCTTATATCCGAGCTGGACCACCGGGAGCTGGCATGATCTACGCCCATCCGGCCAGCTTGAGTGGCACCTATCGCACCCACAAGAGCACCAAGTCGGCGGAGATGAATGGCCAGCGACGACGCCGGCGTGCAGGTAAATCGGATGCCAATCGGCGGCAGCGTCGCAAATCGGAAGCGGATGTCCTCGATGGCGAGGGAGCACCGAATTTCCAATATACCGGATTGGACCGGGCCATAGCCGATAGCTTCCTGGCGCGACAGGAGCAATCGCAGGCGGGCAGCAGTCACATTGATTATTCGTCATCCGCATCCTCGGATCTATACGGCAATCTGAGGTCCTCTTCCAAGACCAAGATTGTCTGCCGGGATGTGGTCATGTAATATGGCAATATGGCAATATCGCAATCGGAAGTTGAAATTGAAACGAAGTCGAGGACAAAGTCCAAGTCGTATCTTTATAATCCATCGATACCCTCTCTCCCCCTCCCCACAGCTATTGTACATATATCTTTTCCCCCGAAAAAGAATCTTAAAAGTTTTCTGGATTTGCTTCCTCTTCTATATTGAATATCTTTTCAAAACTCTAAATCTAAATCTCTTTCTCTTCCTAATTTTATTTTATTCCCAAATGCGTATTAATATTAAGACATTTATATATATGAATCGAATAAAGTTGTATTAAACATACTATAATCGTAAATTCCAATTGAGTTTTTGAAAAATTGTTGTTTATCAAATAATAATATTAATTTGTTGCTTGCTCATTCAGTTGCTCATTGTTTTCACTCTATTGTAATGATATTAATTTAAAGATAACCTCTAAAATAACCCTTGTCAGGGTATTATAATTTGGTTAAAAGCTTTGGTCATTTGCGACCCTTTAAACCATATTCTTTATTTACGAAATGTAAAGAGCAACAGAGTCCAGCTCCCTCCCTCCCACATTCCAGTGAGCGGCAAGTGCAAAAGGAGAGCATAGAAAAGGAGAGCGGCACTTGGAGAGCGGCAGAAGGGAAGCGCAAAGCGGAAAGCGCCTAGAGCGAGCATCATTTGCTTCGCCGCCTTTTCGACTTCGCACGCATCGCGATCACAGCTCCCAGTTTCGCAGTGAAAACCTATGGAAAATGCCCAACAAGTGAAGGAAAACCTAAGGAAAAACAATAAATAATCCTTATTGAACGTGTTAATCGTGTTCGCAGAGAAAAACTCATCCAAACTACGCTAGAAACGATGGCGGAAGAAAAACGAAAGCGGAATGCGAAAAATCTAACCTCCAAGTGTTCGTCAAGTGCAAAACATCAAAGAAACTAACAAAGTGAGAAGTGAAATGTGCGAATAGATGAACTGCAGCTGCTATTAACAACAACCAACAACAAATCGTGTACAGTTAACGCCGGTTATTAATATAATTCTGCAAAAGCGAACGAAGAAAAGTTATTTGTCGCCGCCGCCAAAAGGTAAGCGACAAATTTATGTATGTATGTATGAGAGAGTGCGTGTATTTTTGCGGGAAGAGTAGTGAGAGCGGGAGAACGGTAACGAAAGCGTTAGAAGTGCGAGTGCGCTTTGAGTGGGAAGGATGGAAAGATCTCCTCTCCCACTCAATTGGGAAACGGGAGTTGGGACTTTAACCCTTCTTGAGTATTTTAATTTTAGTCGGAAGCTTAAAATTAAGTGAAAGAGTCATTTGCGACCCCATAAACTATATATTGTATTGATCAGCATGAAAAGGGGAACCTATCTAGCCATGTTTTAATGGAATACATTTTTTCAATATTGACAATGACAACCCCATTAAAATTTTCAAAAATCGTCTAAAAATTCAATTTTAAATGGAGTATGCAGATTTATTAACCTGCTGAAAACTAACATAGGAACGCTTTCCGAATTAAAATTAATGCACTTTTGGCTTAGTTATGAGATTTTTACATTTTGATTAGTCGAACAAATTTGAACAAAAAAATGTAGTTAATATTGATTAAAAAATGGTATTGCACCTTGAGTTAGAAGCTTAAAACTAAGTGAAGGAGTCATTTGCTACCCTATAAATCATATATATTCTTGATCAGCATCAAAAGGCAAATCGATTTAGGTAAGTTTTAAAAGAAAAACATTTTTTTCAATTTGTTAAAATTTTTTAGGGGTTCATTGTTATTACAAATATTGCTAAAATTTTAAATTTTGTAAAATTTTATGCAAAGTTTGCAAATTTATTACCCAATAAAAACTATAATAAAACTGCTTTCCGAATTGAAATTAATCCTTTTTTTGGCTGAATTATGAGTTTTTTAAATTCTAATTTGTTGTGAAAATTTTCATATAAAAATATTCATAAATTTCTATTGAAATATGCAAATATTTAAAGCTTAATTACAAACTATATACAAACTGCAAAAGTATATAAACTTCGGCTTCCCAAAGTTAGTTTCCTTTTTTGTTTTAACTAATTTGAAAACATTAGGTATTTGTTAGTTGCTTTATTTAACAAACAGCTGACCTTTATAAAAAAGTAGTACAGTTTTAGTAATTAATTAGCTGCTCAACACAACCTCAACTGCTCTCAAAGGTAGTGTAATCTATAAAATCCATAGAAAATGATTAGTTAGGTTTTGAGAAATCCTTTTTGGGGAATTCCCCCTCTTAGAAATCTTCATCACTGTGATGCTCCGCCTTATTGGCCGTTTTTGGACGCAAAGGCAGTTCGCCGGTTAATTTTGAAATGCTAATGTCATCAATCGAATTGAGATCAACTGGGAAAGGGTTATAAATAATAATAATATATTTTATATTATTAAAAACAACTTACAATCATCATCGCCGGCTGCCAGAACCATGTTGCTCATGCCACTGATGCCACTAATGCCACTGATGCCGCTCATGCCACTCATGCCCATGATTTCGCCCACATCCAGTTCACTGTCAGAGCTGCCAAAGCTGCTGTCATCGTCCCGGGAGTTGAGCATGCTGCTGCCAGGACCATTGCGTCCATTACGGCCATTACCTCCAGCCTCTTGGCTAGCTCCTCCACCTGCTCCAGGACCTGCTCCTGCTCCGGCTCCTCTTCGGGAGGCCCTGGCTGCCCGAGCATCTTCTCGACCTTCAGCTCCAGCAGCTGCTCTGCCTAGATTTTGATTTAGAAAATATGAAAATGATCCTTAAGGCGATTTTTAAGAGAGATTTCCTTAACCCACCTCCTGTTGCACCCTTTCTACTCCTACCCGTTGTGGGTCTTATCCTTGAGGTGGCCGTTCCAGGACGCTTTCCCTGTCCACTCATACCATTCTGTTGAAGCAACAGCAACTTATCCTCATCTCTTATATCGGGTATTTCCGAATCCAAACCAAAGACACTGCGTCCATTGACAACCATATCAAGGCGACCCGAACCGGAGCCATCATCCCGTCCATTGTCGCCGATGCCACCACCACCACCACCACCGACCTCATCCTCATCATCCAGATCATCATCATCATCACCATCATCATCCCCATTGCCATCCTCATCGTCATCGTCCTCGATGAGTCCTTCGGGTATAAATGGCATTGAACTCTCCGCTGGCTTTTGCAACACCGGTGATGCAATGGGCGTGGCACGTTTAGTTCTCATTTCCAATTGAGATCTCAATGCATCGCGGACATGAAGGCGAAGGAAATATCGCTGAAATAATTGCTGCAATTCCTTCTCACAATCCTCAAACTCGGCCATATGAGCCGGACGAATGCGATGCAGTGCCTCCAATCGTTGACGTGTACGTTCCAACTCGGCTCTCCTCCGTTGTAGCTTGGAACCCAAAGCATTCAGTTCCACCTTGGCTGCCTCCAGCTGAGCTCGACTTGATTGGAGTCGCACCTGACTGGCCTGAATGGCATTCTTGAGGGTTCGTTCCACGCTGAGCAACTCCAGCGGTCGCTGGGCCTGGGCCAAACGTTGCTCCTTGTGCTGCAGCTCCTTGGTGAGCAGATCATGGAGTGTGGCACCGCGTTGTGTGAGATCTGTGGCCAATTCACGGGCACGACGCAGTTCCTCCATTTTGTCACCAATATCGACGGGATTGAGGCTACGATATTGATCTCGCTGCTGTTGCTCTTGCTCCTCCTGATCCGCAGGATGTCCTCCTGAGTCCTCCACTTGACCAGTCCCTGGTGCCGTCAGCAGGCGGGTTATCTTTTGCAATTCCGCTGCCGTCACAGCAGCGGCAGCATAAAGCTTTCGAGGATTCAAACGAATGGCCGCTTTGGTCACAAAAAACTCGGTGGCCGAACGGACGAGGAGGATGCGTTGCTCCTCGGTGTCCACGCCACCGGGCAGTGTCGAACCGGGCTCCATGAGACCCGAGAGCCATTGGAGCAGCTCGGCCACGATGTGGAAACTGGCCAAACTACCGTGCGGATTGGCCAGAGCTTGGAGGGGGAAAACCCGTGGAAAGCCCAGCAATTTGAGCTGCTCACCGAGATCTGCAGGGGGGAAGTTTTGATATATTACATTTAGGGGGATTTTTGATTTTTGTATCCACTCTCACCTCGCACATCCTTGAAGGACATTCCTGGAACTGGTCGTAGCTGCTCAGCTGCTCGCCTGCAATTGCATTTTCGCCGCCGTCATTTGTTGTGGTCTCTTGGCTTGGTCTTTGTTTGCGCCAACCGAGTCCAAATTGAAGGTTGCCCCGGCAACGGATAGTACACTGAGACAAAAAGGTAGCTAAGGGGATTTATTATTGAATTTTGGGGAATTTTTAGAAGATAGAAAACTAATTTGACATATTATAAAAAAGGAAAACACTATTATATATATAAAACTTACTATAAAACAAATTTATGTTCTCCCAAATTAAAAATCTTTTTAAAATGTTTATTTTTTATAAAAATTAAATAAATAATAATAAAAATAATAATAAATAAATAAATAATAATAAAATAATAAAGTATAAATAAATATATATATATATTAAAGCATTAAACCAATTAAATATTTATTTTGCATTTCTAAAGTTTTCCAAAACATAAATATCAAACCTTAATTTGTGATAGAAAATAAAAAATCAATCAACAAATTGAAGTTCTTAAATAGTTGTTAAAGTATTATGTATATTATATACTGCATACATATTTTATTTAAAAAAGCTAATTAATTTTTGATTTGAATTTTTTCTTAAATTAAATACATTAGCTTTTGAATACGACAATAAAATAAAGTCCTCTAATATTTATTTTTCCTAAGGAGCATATATTTTATCAATTATTTACCTTAATTTTTAATATAAAATATTACAATTAATTTACAAAACACTATACTAAATTATCTATATATAATATATATAAAATATGTAAAATATATAAAATATATAAAATATATAAAATATATAAAATATATAAAATATATAAAATATATAAAATATATAAAATATATAAAATATAAAATATATAAAATATATAAAATATATAAAATATATAAATATATAAATATATCAAATATATCAAATATATCAAATATATCAAATATATCAAATATATCAAATTATCAAATATATCAAATATATCAAATATATCAAATATATCAAATATATCAAATATATCAAATATATCAAATATATATATATATATATTTATATAAAACCTTCAGAAGCTCCTTTTTATATTTCTTGTTATTTATTTCAAATTGAAAGAAACAACGATTTTGAATTTAAAATATATATATATAAATAAAAGAAATAATTAATAAACAAAATTAAACATTCTCAAACTTGAATATATTTTTCCAAAATATCTCTATACACTTTTCTCTCAGTGTTCCCCTGCCAATTGTGACTAATTTCCCTTCGATTGCTTTGGTCAGCCAACACACACCGAATTCACCTAGACAACCGTTGCGGGGCTCGATTTTTCCACCACTTTTCCTCCTACTCCTCCCATTTCAGGGAAATTCGGGAAAAGGGCAGGCTGTTTGAATTTTTTATGTACGTTTTTTTATGAACAGGGGTCACAGGATACTCGCGAGATTTCCCTTTGGAAATTGACCTAACCTGTTGCCTGCTTTGGTCATGTAATTAAAACTAGCCAAGTTTCCGTTGATTTTTCCTCAACTTTTCCTTCTTGACTGCTCTTGACAAGGCCTAGATTTTTATTTAATTTCCGCTGATAGATTTTCCTGTGTGTCTGACACATTTTAATCTGCGAAAATCAATTAATCTACGCTTCCGGCGATTAATATTCAGAATAAACCAGCTTTGACGAAGCAGAAATATGTGTTTATAATTTTTTTTTTTTATCAAATTTGAATATTTGAACTCTCTTTAAAAATATGTATAAAATTCTACAAAAGTGTTGCCTTAAAATTTCATATTTAAGAATATATATATTATATTTCGTATATATTTTTTAAAATTAATTTCCGGTTTCCAAGATTAATTTCCAGAGTAAACCAGCTTTGACAAAGCTCAAATGATCAAAATTATGGGATTTAGAACTATTGGGTTATTATAATTTTAGTCAGAAGCTTAAAACTAAGTGAACGTGTCATTTCCGAGCCTATAAACTATATATATTCTTGATCAGCATCAACAGGCGAATCTTTCTAGGTATCTCTGACAGAAAATTAAATTTTCGACATTTTTTCCAAATTTTTAAGAGGGGACATCGTTTAAATTGTCAAAAAAAAATTGATAAAAAATTGAATTTTTTAATATTTTAAATTGAGTATGCAGTTTTGTTGCGCCAATAAAAACTAGCACGAAACTTTTTGCCTAATTGAAATTAAAGCTTTTTTGGCTTAGTTATGATTTTTTAAAATGTTGATTCAAAATGTTATTTAAATTTTAAATTTGTTGAAAAAATGCACATTATATAAATATATTTTGTAGAATATATCAATTTATTTATTTAATTAAGGAATGCATATATTTTAAGCCTAACTATGATCGATTTTCGATTCCTTACTGCAAGTTTATAAAACCTTCGTCTTCCCAAAGTTACTTTCGTTTTTAGTTCTCAATTTAAATTTGAATATCTAAACTCTTACAGGAGCTCTTTACATTTAATTAAATTTACAAAACCTAAGGGGAAGTCTTTAATATATATATTTATATTTATATTTAATATTTCATACAATATTTTTAATTATATATATTATAATTAATCTACGCTACTGGCAATTAATTTGCAGAGTGAACAAAAGCCTTAAAAATTATTTTTAAGTGAAATTAAAATTTTATTAGAAAATTCAACAGAAATACAGAAAACATTTTAAAGTTATTTTAGTATTTATTTATTAAACAAAGTAACCTTAGGATTAGCATACTTTCAAATTAATATTAAATTACCGATCACTGACTTCGATAAAAGTTATTTTAACTTTTACAAAATCCTATAATCCTATATTTTTAAGTAGGCCTGGGCCTTGCCTTGTGTCAACCTGTACAAAAACCCCTTTGACATTAATCAATTGTAATTCAATTTTGGAACAAGAAAGTTGTCTCTCCCAAAGGAAAAAAAACTTTCAAAAATAAATTTTTTCCAAAAATAATCAAGAAAAGAATAAAGTCTTGAAAATGGCACCCAGGAAGCGCATTTCACGAGTCCCCACCCGAATTGTGGTCCCAATGGAGGAGCTACCCGAAGGTTCCACACGTTCCATTGGCATCCAAACGGATCCCGAGCAGCAACCTTTGTCTGCTCCTCAGCCGACGAAGCGCCAAAAGATTCTGGAGAAGATCAAGCAGCTGAATAAGGCCAAGAAACAGGATGGGACTTCAATGGATAAGACTTTCTCGAATATGGATACTTCATCGTCCTTGTCCTGCTCCTCCTCCTCCTCCATGGCAGTGCTCCAATCGGTGGCTCTTGTGCCCAAATCCATTGAGCCGGGTCCCAATGAGAAGGCCTGCCAGGTGAAGGACTCCGAATTGGCTCCCATTCGACCAACACGCCCCAAATCCGATTTTGCCATCCGCATGGAGCGTCTGAAGGGCGAGATGGATCGTCGTCGTATCGAGTCCATTATGTGGGATATCAATCGTTTGGATGCCTTGGATGAGATGATTAACCGCGATCCGCCGCCACGTTGGGCAGCCGCCTGTGAAATGTGGTTGGAAGTGGATCAGCTGGAGGGACGCATTAATGCCTTTTGCAAGAGGAAGGAGCGCATCAGTGCCATCGCCCTAAAGCCCTGCAAGTAAAATGAAGAAAATGCCATCTTAACATTCTAAAAATAGTGTTATCAAAAATAATACACTTGTCATGGCAAAACAACTAGTTATATGATTTATTTTTAAGGTCTTTGCTTAGTGTCTTTATTAGTTTTTCAAATATTTTTGATTGGTCCATGGAGTTCAATTATTTTTTCTATAATTTTTTAAAGCCTTCAAAACTTTTTTGTTGTTTTTTTGAAAGCCTACTTTTGTTTCCTAGAAAGTAAAGCAAGACTTGACTTGATTAAGTCAGTTTAATTTTTAAAGGTATATTTTTTTTAATTTAGATTAGGTTTCTCATATATTTAACAGTAAATATATCTTGCTTACAATATTAAAATGTTAACTTTTTTTAAAGCTCTATATCCTCTTAGTTTTTGATTCCTAAGAATTTATTTAATTTACCTAGAAGGTTAACCAAGAAAGTCCAGGGTTCAAATTAGTTTACTATTCTTTGGGGTATATAATTTTTATTATTTTATATATTATTTTAAACATTCTTAATTAGGTTTTCTTTAATATTTTGGCTCTTATACATTTTTTAATATTTTTTAAATCCAAAAATCTTTTTATTTAAACAAAACATAAAGTCAAGGTTGAAATTAGTTTATTATTATTAAATTATATATTTTATTTAGTTGTTCTTTTACAATTTGTCTATATTTTTCAAATCCCAAGTCCTTTTAATAAGTGTTTGCCAAGAGTTTATTTAAATTTCATAAGATGTAAATCAAGGAAGTCAGAAAATTTAATTCAGTTTGTTATTTTTGAATGGAAAAATTAATTTTTTAAATTGGTTTTTCTATTATTTCATGTATTTATTATTTGTTCAATACTTTGTAGAGCCTCAAAAGCTTTTGTAGGTACCTTTTCATAGTAGTAAATCAGGGAAGTGTGAATGTTTAATTAAGTTTATTATTTTTAAATGCCTAAATTTATTATTTAAATTAGTTTTCCTATCATTATTAAGAACTTCCAATGTTTTATTATTTATTCTATATTTTTTTAAACCCCCAAACCTTTATTTAAAATAATTTGAAAACTTAATTAACTTTCTTAGAAGTTAAACCAAGAAAGTTATGGAGTTTATTTGCGTTAAATATTTTTTTAATGCATCTATTAAATATTTCTATTAGTTTTTCTTATATTTTTTCCTGTACTGTTAAGCACTCAGGGGTATATAATATTTTTTTATTTTTTCTATTTTAAAATTTTTACAATTTTTCTACAAAGTAAACCCATTAAGCCGAAGATTTGCGCTCTCAAAGAAGTTGCTTATTTTTAATGCATCTCTTTGGTATTTCTCTTATTATTCCACTTATTTTTCAAGCTCAGGGAATTATATTATATATTATTTTATATTATCCCAGAGCTTATTTAATTTTCCTAGAGAGTAAAATCCAGCAAAAGAGCCAAAGGATTTTCTCTCTTCTCCTTCTCAAGTGAGCATATAAATTTCCAGATAAAAGGCCTTGATTTATGGGCAAAGGCATACGATACGAAAGGATATTCTTTCTGCAAGAAGGACTCCACTGGCTTTTAATTGCAATTCAAGTGGTGTGAATCGCTTGTTACCATATGAATGCTCCTGACTCGCGGCGATGACAGGCACTCACATGGGGATCCTTGGTCCTTCGTCCAGAGCCACTTGGTGTGTGTGACTGCCTCTGGTCCCTAGGTCCTTCGTCCTTGGTCCTGAATCCTTGGTTCTGGATTCTGAGTTCTGAGTTCTGGATTCCGAGTTCTGGATTCTGGGTCCTTCAGTGCTGCCTTGGCCCATGCTTAATCAGTTGACAGGCAACGAGTTGCCACGCCCCCCATCCACACACACATCCACACACACACACACACATCCACACACACACACACACACCCATTTCCATTTCCATTCACATGGCCAGGCACATCTTGCCCGGGCTTTTGGCCATATGCGTGAGTCTTTGTGCATATTTAAGCAGCTAGGTGGCAATGGCGGCGTGTCCTTTTTGGGTGGCACAAGGATGTGTTTGGATCCCAGGACCAAAACCTCAGCCATCCATGTCAGTTTGGCCTGCATTTGACGAATTTTCACGCGTCACGCATTTGCAGTGACCTCAAGGCTCAAAGGCTTCCTTTTCCCCACGCACATAACATAGGCCCTCCTCCCATCATAAGCCAGGTCGGGACCGACTGTTTATACCGCCATATAATTAGCTTTATAAATTTTGATTCATTTTGCAATTGGAAAATTTGAGATTTTTTGAGATTTTATTGTAGGTTTTAATAAGATTTTTCGAACAAAAATTAGTTAAACCTCTCAAATTCTATTATGAAGTAAACTTTGCAAAAGTTCTTTTGAATTTCACTGAGTGTTGCTGTTTAATAAATGATATAAAGCAATGTAGATTTTTATTTTTATATATAAGTGAAGGAATAAATTCATTAATTAATTTATTATATATAGTAAATATATAAAAATGTATCATAATATATATAATATATATCATAATATATATAATATATATCATAATATATATATATATATATATTATTTTACGTTTCTAATTTCATTGGGTATTATTTTTATATAAATGATATAAAGCCATGTAGAGTTTTTTTTTCTTATTTATAAATGAATGAAATATATTAATTAATAATATATAGTAAAGATATATAAAATATAATAATATATATAAATAATATAATATAACATACAAATCAATAACATAAATATTACAATAATTTAGTTTCTAATTTCATTGGGTATTATTTTTATATAAATGATAGAGAGTAGAGTGTAGCGTTTTATTCTTGTATATAAATGAATGAATTTATTCATTAATGAATTAATAATATATGGTAAACATATAAGAAATTTAATAATATGTATAAAATATGATACAATATACTAATCAATAATAATAATATTCAAATAATTTTGTTATCATGCTTAGCTCCATGTTTCTAACACATTCCTTTCAAGGAATTATATTTATATAAATGATAAAAAGTCATGTAGAGTTGTATTCTTATATATATGTAAATGAATGAAAACATATAAATAATATAATATAATATACTAATCAATAATAGAAGTATAGAAAATATTAAAATAATTTAGCTATCATTATTAGCTACTTGTTTCTTGTTTCAAGAAACTACTTAAATTTTTAAATTTCATTGAGTTTTACTTTTATATAAATGATATAAAGCCATGTCGAGTTTTATTCTTATAATGCATAAATACATAAATAAATTAATTAGTAATTTATGGTAAATGGATATAAAATATAGGAAAATACATAAATATTATAATATAACATACTGATCAATAACATTAATATTCAAAATATTTAGTTATCATACATAGCTCCATGTTTCTAATATATTTCCTTCTAGGAATTACTTAACCAAGCAAAAAATAAATCTAGAAATCTACTTTATACATTTTTAATAACTATTTATCATATTTGTTAAAGCTTAGAATATTTTATTTTTATTTCTAAACTCATTTCTATTATGTAATGAAAGATACTTAGTCTAGATCTCTGCTTTCTTTTTAAATAAGCATTTAAAAAACACTTTTAAAGCTCTTTTAAGCTGCTTAATGAATTATTCTGTCATTTAAATAATATTATTAAATATTATTTCATTAAATTAAATAATTTTAATTTTCTTTTTAATTTTTAATAATATTCCCCATTTTTAATGGCATAAACATGGGCCTAAAATGGGCTCAAAGAGAGAGAGAGAAAGTGCGTGTGTGAATGATATGCGTAGGAGGTTGCCTAAACTCGTATCCTTTCCGCCTCTCCCCTCCCCCTCCTGCGTGATGTTTTGGGTGTTTATACAACGGGGACTGGTAGAGGGTTAAGGATCTGAGGGGATTCCCCATCACCATCACCATCACCCTGGCAGATGCGAAGGCATCTTAGTTGGTTCTATCAACTCCATTGGCCTCGTCATTTGGTGGCCGGCGTCGGCTTGCATGTACTTATGTCAACATGTGCATATATTTGCATTGCCCCCCCCCGGGGGTGTCGTCTCACTGTGTCCCCGACTGCGCTTTTCCCGCATTTTCCGCTTGTGCTGGTCAACTGGAGATTTTCCAGATGATAGCTATTTCTATGGAGGGGGTGCATTTAAAATATTTAAGTCGGTCTTCTATTTCATGTATGGGAAAAATCTTTAATTCATTTTAAACTATTATTCTTTGAAATAAATATAAAAAGGTTTTGGAAAATATAGTTTAAAATACGTATAATTAAAAAAAAATAAACTTTAGATAGGAATTAAATTATAGGATCGAAAAGAGATCATAACTAAGCTTAAAATATTCGCATTCTTTGAATCGATATTTATCAATATTTGTATATATACAAATTTTTTCGACTAGTCCAAATTTAAAAAACTCATAACTCAGCCAAAAATGCCTTAATTTTAATTCGGAATGCTGTTCTATGTCAGTTTTTATAAGGTTCATAAATCTGCATACTCAATATACAATTTTAAGAAATTAAAAATTTTTCCAATTTTTTCAAACTTTCATTAATGCAATTTTTTGAACAAAAATTTGGGGAACAAATTTTCTCCTAGACATGCCTAGATCGATTCGCCTGTTGATGCTGATCAAGAATATATATGATTTATAGGGTCGGAAATGACTCCTTCACTTAGTTTTTAGCTTCTGACTGAAGTTGAAATACCATTTTTTAATCGATATAAACTATTTTTTATTATTTATTAAATTTTTTTTTTGACAAAATAAAATGTAAAAATCTCATAACTAAGCCAAAAAAGCATTAATTTCAATTCGGAAAGCATTTTTATGTCAGTTTTTATAAGGTTTATAATTCTGCATACTCAATTTAAAATATTAAAAATTTCAATATTTTATCGATTTTTTTTTTACAATTTTAACGATGTAACCTCTTAACAATTTTTTAAAAAATTTCAAAGATTTTTTTTCAAAATAAATTAACAAAAATATATATTAATTAAATAGAATTAATCTGATGTAT